ATTCTAAAGCAGCTCTAGAAATAAGATGTTCCTTGTTAAGCAGAAATTTAGGTTGATGTTGAGAAGGTGTAATATATTGTACAGCTACAGATAATAGCCTACATATCTTTAAAAAAAAGTTTCACTTGTTCTTACTGAATCCAAATATTTGTTAAGTGGGACATATACCAATCTCAGTACTTCAATGAGTGTCCAATAAAACCATAACTTCTCTTTCAAGAAGTTAGTTCTTAGTCTAGTTTAGGAGGCTCAGAATACAATGAAAGATATCTTTTAGATACATGACTGTCAATGGTTTCTCTGAGAGTGTAAAACAGGTCTGAAACAATTACAACTCTTAGAATTAAAGATACTCTGTATGAAACATGTAATGAGCCAAAACTTAACAAAATATTAGGATTTGTGTCATTAAAAAGGAGAGAGGTAAATTTTCTAAACAGGGCACACTGCAAGAACAGGCTCTAAGGTGTAGTTAAACTTGAAATCTTTGTTGTTGTTTTTTTTTTTTTTTTCATTTATTTTTGTTAGTTGGAGGCTAATTACTTTACATCATTGTAGTGGTTTTTGTCATACATTGAAATGAATTAGCCATGGATTTACATGTATTCCCCATCCCGGTCCCCCCTCCCACCTCCCTCTCCACCCAATCCCTCTGGGTCTTCCCAGTGCACCAGGCCCGAGCACTTGTCTCATGCACCCAACCTGGGCTGGTGATCTGTTTCACCCTAGAAAATATACGTGTTTTGATGCTGTTCTCTTGAAACATCCCACCCTGGCCTTCTCCCAGAGTCCACAAGTCTGTTCTATACATAGGAGTCTCTTTTTCTGTTTTGCACATAGGGTTATCGTTACCATCTTTCTAAATTCCATATATATGTGTTAGTATACTGTAATGGTCTTTATGTTTCTGGCTTACTTCGCTCTGTATAATGGGCTCCAGTTTCATCCATCTCATTAGAACTGATTCAAATGAATTCTTTTTAATGGCTGAGTAATATTCCATGGTGTATATGTACCACAGCTTCCTCATCCATTCGTCTGCTGATGGGCATCTAGGTTGCTTCCATGTCCTGGCTATTATAAACAGTGCTGCGATGAACATTGGGGTGCACGTGTCTCTTTCAGATCTGGTTTCCTCAGTGTGTATGCCCAGAAGTGGGATTGCTGGGTCATATGGCAGTTCTATTTCCAGCTTTTTAAGAAATCTCCACACTGTTTTCCATAGTGGCTGTACTAATTTGCATTCCCACCAACAGTATAAGAGGGTTCCCTTTTCTCCACACCCTCTCCAGCATTTATTGCTTGTAGACTTTTGGATAGCAGCCATCCTGACTGGTGTGTAATGGTACCTCATTGTGGTTTTGATTTGCATTTCTCTGATAATGAGTGATGTTGAGCATCTTTTCATGTGTTTGTTAGCCATCTGTATGTCTTCCTTGGAGAAATGTCTGTTCAGTTCTTTGGCCCATTTTTTGATTGGGTCATTTATTTTTCTGGAGTTGAGCTGGAGGAGTTGCTTGTATATTTTTGAGATTAATCCTTTGTCTGTTGCTTCGTTTGCTATTATTTTCTCCCAATCTGAGGGCTGTCTTTTCACCTTGCTTATAGTTTCCTTTGTTGTGCAAAAGCTTTTAAGTTTCATTAGGCCCCATTTGTTTATTTTTGCTTTTATTTCTAAAATTCTGGGATGTGGGTCATAGAGGATCCTGCTGTGATTTATGTCGGAGAGGGTTTTGCCTATGTTCTCCTCTAGGAGTTTTATAGTTTCTGGTCTTACATTTAGATCTTTAATCCATTTTGAGTTTATTTTTGTGTATGGTGTTAGAAAGTGTTCTAGTTTCATTCTTTTACATGTGGTTGACCAGTTTTCCCAGCACCACTTGTTAAAGAGGTTGTCTTTTTTCCATTGTATATCCTTGCCTCCTTTGTCAAAGATAAGGTGACCATAGGTTCGTGGATTTATCTCTGGGCTTTCTATTCTGTTCCATTGATCTATATTTCTGTCTTTGTGCCAGTACCATACTGTCTTGATGACTGTGGCTTTGTAGTATAGTCTGAAGTCAGGCCGATTGATTCCTCCAGTTCCATTCTTCTTTCTCAGGATTACTTTGGCTATTCGAGGTTTTTTGTATTTCCATACAAATTGTGAAATTATTCGTTCTAGTTCTGTGAAAAATACCGTTGGTAGTTTGATAGGGATTGCATTGAATCTGTAGATTGCTTTGGGTAGTATAGCCATTTTGACAATATTGATTCTTCCAATCCATGAACATGGTATATTTCTCCATCTGTTTGTGTCCTCTTTGATTTCTTTCATCAGTGTTTTATAGTTTTCTATGTATAGGTCTTTTGTTTCTTTAGGTAGATATACTCCTAAGTATTTTATTCTTTTTGTTGCAATGGTGAATGGTATTGTTTCCTTAATTTCTCTTTCTGTTTTCTCATTGTTAGTGTATAGGAATGCAAGAGATTTATGTGTGTTAATTTTATATCCTGCAACTTTACTGTATTCGTTGATTATCTCTAGTAATTTTCTGGTAGAGTCTTTAGGATTTTCTATGTAGAGGATCATGTCATCTGCAAACAGCGAGAGTTTCACTTCTTCTTTTCCTATCTGGATTCCTTTTACTTCTTTTTCTGCTCTGATTGCTGTGGCCAACACTTCCAAAACTATGTTGAATAGTAGTGGTGAGAGTGGGCACCCTTGTCTTGTCCCTGATTTCAGGGGAAATGCTTTCAATTTTTCACCATTGAGGGTGATGCTTGCTGTGGGTTTGTCATATATAGCTTTTATTATGTTGAGGTATGTTCCTTCTATTCCTGCTTTCTGGAGAGTTTTAATCATAAATGGATGTTGAATCAAGAAACAAGAAAAAAGTCAAATAAATAACCTAACTCTACACCTAAAGCAACTAGAGGAGGAAGAAATGAAGAACCCCAGGGTTAGTAGAAGGAAAGAAATCTTAAAAATTAGGGCAGAAATAAATGCAAAAGAAACTAAAGAGATCATAGCAAAAATTAACAAAGCTAAAAGCTGGTTTTTTGAAAAAATAAACAAAATTGACAAACCATTAGCAAGACTCATTAAGAAACAAAGGGAGAAGAACCAAATTAACAAAATTAGAAACAAAAATGGAGAGATCACAACAGACAACACCGAAATACAAAGGATCATAAGAGACTACTACCAGCAGCTCTATGCCAATAAAATGGACAACTTGGAAGAAATGGACAAGTTCTTAGAGAAGTATAACTTTCCAAAACTGAACCAGGAAGAAATAGAAGATCTTAACAAAACCATCACAAGCAAGGAAATCGAAACTGTAATCAGAAATCTTCCAGCAAACAAAAGCCCAGGACCAGATGACTTCACAGCTGAATTCTACCAAAAATTTAGAGAAGAGCTAACACCTATCTTACTCAAACTCTTCCAGAAAATTGCAGAAGAAGGTAAACTTCCAAACTCATTCTATGAGGCCACCATCACCCTAATTCCAAAACCAGACAAAGATGCCACAAAAAAAGAAAACTACAGGCCAATATCACTGATGAACATAGATGCAAAAATCCTTAACAAAATTCTAGCAAACAGAATCCAACAACATATTAAAAAAATCATACATCATGACCAAGTGGGCTTTATCCCAGGAATGCAAGGATTCTTTAATATCCGCAAATCAATCAATGTAATACACCACATTAACAAATTGAAAGATAAAAACCATATGATTATCTCAATAGATGCAGAAAAACTTGAAATCTTTGATATTCATGAGATAACTCCTCTACCAAGGAAATAGGCATTGGGGAGAATGGGTTGCAGCAAGGTTACAGAAGCATCTTAATACCAGATGGAAGAGTTTTAGCCTTATATACAGTGAATAAGTATCAAAACATTTTGAGAGGAATTATATCATACAGGTACTTTGTAGAAAGATACCTACAATAACCTGAAGCAGCAACACAATGAATTCCAAATGGAGGATGGAAAAGAAAACCAGAAAAAAAATCATTCCCCAAATGCTTTTTGATTATAAAGATAGGATGACAGATTGGATTAATGCATCAATCAGTTTGTGAGTTTCTGTAAGCATTTTTCAAAAAAAGAGATGCCCCAATTTTTATTTTTTTGGTTATTCTCACTGATACAAACTGTTTCAGTGTATAAGTTCAATTTGAGGTAACACACTATTACAAAATCCTTATTTTTTATACACATGAAGTATTAAAACATAGAAAATATATTGATATTAAAAGAGCTTTTTTTCTCTGACTATTGAAGACATAATATCAGAATATTTATAACATACGAGGGAAAATATGTTCTTTTGTAGCATCTCTTATTATGTAATGTCACCCTTGTGACTACTCAAGTGGAAAACAGCTTAGCTAAACAAGATGAGCCTTGCAGCTCTTGTTCAACAAAGGTTACCTAAAATCTCTGAACAAACATATTAGGAAATAAAAAATGTTGATAAAATGTCAAATTCTCTATTTTGAGTAATGTGAGGGCCAACCCTAACACCATCCTGCCCTTTGATTTTCCTGTGATGGCATGTCTTTCTTTGTGTATTAGGTAACAGTGTATCATTGCTTAAGATCATGAGCAAAGCAGAGATATTCCTGCTCCTTCTTAAACCTGTGAATGCTGTGAACTTTTAGGCTGAAAAATACTTGACAAGGTGACAAGGTGGATATCTTCTTCACAAGGTGGACATCAAGTTCCATACATACTTTGGCGAACATTGTTAAAGTACTTTATGGTACTTTGGAAATGAAATCAGAAAATATTTGTCACAAAAGTTCTTCGATTATTTCTTTTAAGCACTTGGATGCAAGGAACTGAAATGTACTACATAATGAAAAACAAAACCAGCTTAAGGTGTGAAGAGAATAAATAATCAAAATGTTTCTGTACCTTGAATGAAGTCTACACTGGGGACCATGAAAAGCTAAGCAAAACAAAACAAACAAGAATAATTACAAAAATTGGCACTTACCCATATTTTGCAAAATTTGCCCAGCGTTTCATAATGGATCTACTAAAAATTTCCTCAGCTTTTGTGTAATTAACTCTTCTTTCCAGTGGTAAACCAAAGACAAATTCAATCTCATAACCATGCATCACTCCCATCCATTCTGGCCAAGGGAGTTTGGAGGATCGGTGCTCGAAATAGTAGAAAAAGACATTGTTTCCCATATCTGAGAACTTTTTGGTGAACTCCAAAGCAGGACATATGATATTATAATCCCCAACAACATCATCCAAGGCCTCACGGTAGTTTTCAGCTCTCTGATCATCTAACCAGTCCATGTAGTGGAAAAGGATCGATTCCTTTCCAAGCTCACTCACTCCTGGAAAAAATATTTTTAAACCTTCTTGAAATTCTTTTCTGGTTATAATACTGTTGTTATCTTTGCTGAAGCCAGGAGCACCATATACTAAAAATGCTGTCCCTTCATCTTTATTAACACCCACCAAGATCTGGGTTTTTTTGAATTGTCCAAGTTGGAGTAGTGTGTCTGGCATGTCAGTGAGAAAATCACCATCTACAGTGGGACCAAAATTTACTGATAAGAGCGTACCATAGGGGACAACAAACACTTCATGAAGAAGAATCTCCTGGGGATCTTTATGTCGAAGACATTTGATTATCTCAGTGTCATTTTCTCTAGAACAACCAATAAATTTAGCTAAAGTCAGTGTTCTGTTCCTAGCTTCATAAAGAGATGTCACTGCCCAAGGAGCATTAGAGGATCCACTTTGCAGAATAGCTCTGGTAAACAATGGGTAGCTTTTAGGAGAAAGTAAATGAAGGCTAACTGAAGCTGCTCCTGCACTTTCTCCAAAGAGAGTTACACTTTTAGGATTTCCACCAAAGGCTGCTATATTGTCTTGAACCCACTGAAGAGCTAACTGTTGATCAAATAGACCCACATTCCCTGGTGCTTCAGGATTTCCCGGTAAAGCTAAGAATCCAAGGGCACCTACTCTATAGTTCATTGAAACCACAATAACTCTTTCAACCCGTGCCAGAAACTTGCCATCATAAACATGCAAAGATGATGTTCCAGTCTGAAAACCACCACCGTAGATCCATATCATTACAGTAGCATTTTTTGGTTTAGGTGTTGGAATCCACACATTCAGATATAAACAGTCTTCACTGAGGTCAGTGTTTGGGTTCCACATCTCTGATCCAAGGAAGCCTGGGAAACTTTGATCTGTGTTCTGATAACAAGAATTAGAATATTTTGTAGCATTCCAAATATCAGGCCACTTGGTCAAGGATTGTGGCTTTTTGAATCGTAGTCTACCAAGAGGTGGCTGTGCATACGGGATTCCAAGAAAGGCTGTTACTGTGCCACCAAGTACTGGCAAGCGCATCCCCCTGACTTTTCCATTCTTGGTGGTAATTATGATGTCTTCTTCAGCGTGTGACTTCTCAAAGAGTACCCAGAGCAGAAGGAATCGCAAGATAAATCTGATGTATATGACTGTACTCCGGCTCTGCATATTGGTTTCTGCAAGAGAGGTAAGTAGGAAGTTTTAACAGCTTCATGCATCTAAGGTTATATTTTATTGATGATAATTAACTAAAATTTAGCAGTTCTTATTAATTCTATAAATTATGAAAACTAATTATCTGTTACTGCTATAAATAATAGAAAATGGTTGGGCATATTTCAGTTATCAATTTGGGAAAGAAATGAGTGAAATGGAAATGGAAAAAGAAATGATTTCAATTTGAAGAGATTCATTTACAAACCTCTGTAAGAAAGAGAGATTTAGTACTTTAAGGAGAAAATTTGTCCAAGGCATAAGAGTGTGTGTTTGTGTATATATATATATATGACTTTACCAGGCATTAACTGGCAGTCTATTTATGATAGATATAGTAGATTAAATTTCTACCATGGTTAGAGGAAGAAATGCAAGCTCACTTATTCTCTAGAATATATACAGTTCTAATCATGGTTGACTGGCTCTTGACAGAGCTATGAAGTAGGTGAAGAAACTCTAAGGATCTTCAGACTTCTATTACTGTCTTTTTCTGTTTCCATAGTCCCATCTGTGGTCCTTTTTGCCTTAGTGGTTTTTTCCTCTGTACAAGCATAAGCATAGTGTAAGTTCAGAAGAGAATTTGGACAAGAAATTCATAAAATGTTAAGTAACAAAAAAACACAGTAGCTGCCATTTATCCTACAAATTGTGAAAACAAACAAATCTACTACCATTATAAAGGTCTATCAGAAAAATTAGACAGAGAAGACCGGATATATACCAGTCCTTTGGAACCGAATAACCATGAAGGCTTTTTCTATCTAAATTATGTTGTCAGTGAAGAGACTGACTGATAATGTAATGTGTGGGTGAAGAAATCAATTTGGAAGAAATTTTACACTCAGAGATGACTCAACACATGCCTTAATCTGTTAATTTATTAAAGCATATGCAACGAGGGAGGTTAAATGTGTTAGCATGGTCAGATTTGCTTATATTCTGGTAGTGGACAGTGAAATCAGAGGATTAAAATTGAGGAATTACTGGGAAAAGCAGGGGAAGCAAAAGTAATCTTTGATACCTACCAAATCATCACCATTTGACATTTCATGAAATAATATTTATTTAATAATATGAAAAGAACATTTGGGGAAATCAAAGTTTTATTAAAAATTCATAATGCACAGTTGAGTTTCTTTTCAATAAAAACATTTAAATCACATTCTGAAACTCTAAGTGACAAAGGATAGAAAAATGTAATGCAGATATCATCTGAAAGAACTAATATCTTTATACAACTGAGAAAAAAAAGAAAATCTGATTAAAATTGTCAAATACAAACACTGATTCTCATCCATAAAACAATAGCAAAGTTCCACACATGTACAAAATATTTTATTCATTATGTTTTGAGAGTGTAATAATAAATCCAAACTATGTGTCCAAGAAACTAATCCTGTGAGCACTGAGAATCTGTATTAGATTTTTTATTCTTTTTCTTAAATTTTAGATTGTCTTAGAAGGCAGTGATTTAGGCACTACCTATTAAGATAACTGTCTTAGATATATGATCCTCACAGTTAATGAGCCTCATTCACCACTGCTCACAGGACAGCCAGTAACCAACAGTTAATTTTTGATCCCCACTAATCCATTGTGTACACTATTTTGTTCAGTGTACAGTACTTATAGATGTATATCCATTTCTACCTCTATCTCTGTCTCTTTGTCTATGATTATGGCTATGTATATACTTACATATATTTATCTCTAATTCTATTTATATCTGCATGTTTATGCATATATACACACATATATTTATACATAATGATTGCTATAAAAAAGTCATGAGATTTTTTATGCTCTCAATTTTGAAACTAATGACTCTGTGTTATTACCAATAAAATATACTATTGAAGTATATAATATATTTAACACTATATATATACTATTATGAAATTTAGATATTATAGTCAAATTAAATATAATTTTTTCTAAAAATAATAAATATAATGTCATGGTAATATACTCTTGCCTGGAAAATCCCATGGACAGAGGAACCTGGTAGGCTACAGATCATGGGGTCGCTAAGAGTCGGACATGACTGAGCGACTTCACTTTCCCTTTTCACTTTCATGCATTGGAGAAGGAAATGGCAACCCACTCCAGCGTTCTTGCCTGGAGAATCCCAGGGACGAGATGGGAGAGCCTGGTGGGCTGCCGTCTATGGGGTCGCACAGAGTTGGACATGACTGAAGTGACTTAGCAGCAGCAGCATGGTAATGTAAAGATTCCTGTAAACTTGACACTTGAGGCTTCCCTGATGGCTCAGTGGTAAAGAATTTGCCTGCCAATTCAGGAGCCCTGGTTCAATCCCTCGGTCAGGAAGATCCCTCGAAGAAGGAAATGGCAACCTACTGCCGTATTCTCACCTGTGAAATCCCATGGACAGAAGATCCTGGGAGGCTACAGTCCACTGGGCACAAAGAGTTGGACACAACCTAGTGACTAAATAGCAGCATCAGTAGCAAAGTTGACACTAATAAAATTCTATATTTCAGAGAGTTAGGAGTTTTAGAGATACTGCTACCACATACTACAGTTTTATTTTCCCCCCTTCTGATAAATCCTAAGACATTTCTTCTAAATAATTGGAGGTAGGCATTTGGCCTAGTTCAATCAATCTCTCCTGAGTCTAAAAAAGATTGTATTCTTTTTGTTTGGTTTATATAAAACAGATCCTGATAATTTTTGGTTTCTGACAGTTTTCAAACTTTCATTCTATTGGTTATTAATTTTATTCCATAGCGAATTTAAAATTACTACCAACATATTTTGTTTTTGTATATAATTAATAAATATAATAATTTTCATTGCATGTATTATGAAAGGCTGCTATAGCATCTAAAAGGTTGTAATAACATTCCATGTCACTTAATTGATTTATATAAGTACTTGTACACTTTTATTTATATTTTGTGCTAAGTAGAACTTAATGTTATATAATATGATTAATATGAATAATAGTCTTTTACAACAGTGATATCTATGAGTCATCACCTTGGTATTAGTAATATAAGTAGTTACACCTTGCAATTATAAATAATGTAATTAGTAACATTCAATCATATAAGCCTGTGTTTATAGCAAGAATGGCAATATAATTCTAATTCACCTTGGTGTTAACCTGATGGAGTACATTTTAAACACTATATTATTAAATCTAGGTTTTAACATGAAAATATGCTTCTATTTGCATACTCATTATTAGTGTAGGCTAATATGTTTATATTTATTTGCATGCATGCTAAGTCACTTCAGTCATGTCCAGCTCTTTGTGATCCTATGGACTGTAGCCTACCAGGCTCCTCTGTCCATGGGGTTCTCCAGGTAAGAATACTAGAGTGGGTTGCCACGCCCTCCTCCAAGGGATCTTCCCAACCCAGGGATTGAACTCTGGGTCTCCTGTGGCTCCTGCATTGCAGGAGGATTCTTTACTGCTGAGCCACTGCAGTACTTTATTTAAGTAAGAATAATTTTTTTTTTCATAATGTAGTATTCTCTAGTCTAACATGTTGCACTGCAGTTTTACCATTAAGAGATGCTTATGTTTTTAACATACATTATCACATGATCAAGCAATCAAAAGGCAGACAAAGGAGATTAAATAAATGTTATTGCTCTATATCTCTAAGTGTTTATTAATAATTAAAGTATTCAACAAAATTTCATTTATTTCATCCTCTAAATTCTGTGGCAAATTGACTACTGGCACATTAAACAATTTAAATTCTGAGAACACATAACATGTTTATCACAAAGAATGGCGTAAATTTTCATACCAAGGACAACTGAGTATATGAATTTAGAAATACTCAGTTTAGATCAACTAATTTATTGTAATAATCTTTAATACTTGACTAAAGGCAAAAGTTTTGTTTGGAATTGCAAAAGAAAATTGATGGGAGTGGGGAGGGAGACAAACTTGGATAATAATGAATACTTCAGTGTTTCAAGTTTATCAAATGCTCCAGAATATCAGAATCTACTGGCAATTTGCGGAAATTATTCTAAATTAAAAAAAAAACTTTCAAAATTAAAAATGTAAAAATTTATTTTCATCTTTTTGCATTTTTAATTCAATTTTGAAAGTAGTATCAAAATTCCTTGACTAGTTTTCAAAATATGCTATGCTATAAGTATAATAAAATTATTGATATAAAAAGCTGTTTATTTGCCATATATTTGTCATAATTGGATAGCAACCAAATTTTCAAAATAATTGGGCAATCAAGGATCCTTATTAAAGGGTGGTCAAGCAAAACCTGTTAATAGTTTTCGCTGAATGCAGTCTTCTTGTCTTTTTAAAAAAGTTTTAGTATTATGTGTACTTCTATATAAAAATAAAGACTGTTAAAATGGTAGGAAAAGAACCATCTAGATAATATGATCTAGAACAAGGGCCACTAAAATGCAGATAGTCCAATTAAAACAACCGAGCCTTTATATCAAATCTAAAAAGCTTGTTTTGTTGTAGGCTAAGTGAAGCGGGGAATTGAGGAAGTCTGTTTATAAACTATACCACTGTCTTTCAGCGATCCTTCAGATACCCAATAGACACTAAAAGGATGTATAGATAGAAGACACTATATTAGGTATGAAACACAGATCTATAACTTTCCTCAATTAGGAAAAAAATTCACAAACTTTTTATTGTGTGAATAATTTGAATATTTAATATTAGGTATCAGGTCTTCTTGCAAAGTTCAATCTGTTCTTAGGTTGACATCTATTCATTTATAATTTTCCATTTGGAACAGTTCAATTTTGATAAGAATGAGCAGATTTTGGCATAAAAACATTAAAATGAAGAAACATATAATTTAAGCATGCATTATTCATTGTTACCAAGAAATAAATCAAAGCAGAAATTACATTTGTAAATAAGATGTCATTTGCTTATATTTTAAAAGCTGAAATATGGAGTATATCCCTATACTTTCTTTTTTTAGCTTTCTTTTTTATTTTTTTTAAATCCTGAAAATATGCTAACACATTTACAGGAGACTTGGAAATTACAGAACAAAGTTATGTATCATTCCACTATATATTACAAATTTTTGTTTCAAATAAATATATTAAGATTTTTAATTGGAGTTTCACCAAATATTTTCTTATAATTAAAAAACTAAGGACAATAATATGTCTAAGAGAACAAAACAGAACTTTGCAAATTCAATTAGAAATCTAATTTGCATCCAAAAGACCACTCTATTTCAAACACACAGAGAATTCTAAAGGTTGTCATTTAAAGTAAAAATCATTCTTTAAACCCTCATGCTTACCCTTAATAACTACATAAGTGGCATATAATTATATTTATCATAGCTATGAGATATATTATGGAAGGCATTATACAGACTAGTAACAGTAACTCCTAACTGAGTTTATTATTATGCAATATATTCATAAAAAGTTGGAAGGGATAACTATTTTTTTTAAAAATTACAAATAAAAATCATAAGTAGTGAAATAATTTTGTTCACATTTCAGTTCACTTTTAATCATTCATATGGTTTTATAAAAACTCAATGCTTAATCCTGTGGTTAAACAAGAATTGATATCAAAATAAAGGTAGATTTACAAAATTATAGGATAAGCAGAAAGTGTGTATTTGCTATTATTTCTGTAATAATAAAAATAACAGCATATGTAAAATACTTTTCTATAAATACACATATTTAAAAAAGAGAATAAACAGGGCAAACTAGACAAAAGTTTGTAAATCAAATCAAGAAATAGATCTTTCCTTTTATACAGAACAAACTTAGACCTTTCCTTTGCAAATTGATTTTGTTAAAGTTTCAGATGGCAAAATGTTAAGTACTCTGTAAAACCAGACAATGAGAGAACTATTCATTTCAAACCACTTTAAAAAAAGAAAAAAAAAAAAAAGAGTAAGATTGGTCAAGAAACACTTCTGTTACTCTTTTAAGGAGACATTCACCAAACAGAGCGTTTAAGGGTAAAACACAGCATAAAATGTTTTCCCGTAGAGGGTGCATTAGGAACATACAATACAGTGATCCCATTAAGTGCTGCGGTCCTTTATACAAAGTTGAACAAATTCATTGTTTCCTTAACAGTTAAATGGACTCAGTCTGTGTTCCCTGAATAATCAGAAGATTTGATGTATGTGGCTGCTCCCTTCATCTGTCCCATTTCCAGTGACTGCCTCCCACGGAGCACCAAAGGGACACAATAAACACGTGAAGGGATCACATTCCTCCTACAGAATGAGCTTCAGGGTAACTTCCATCTCTACAGCAAGGCGTAAATTCAGAGCAACTTACCCGACTCACTGCAACAAAGATGATAAAGTTTGCAAGAAGTGGAAATCATGTAATACTTCAGGGAAATGCAGTATGCAGCTGCTGCTCCAGCCTGTAAATTGGACGGCACTGACATTACAATCAACAGTTACTGACAAAGCTCGCGAGAGTTGGCAGCGGCAACTTGATCTGGAAGCAGCCAATCTTTACTTTCTGACATCTGTTCAGAGGCTAATTGTATGAATGCTATAGTGATTCATTTACAAAAGTATTACCGGAGTCATGTTTTAGGATTGCAGGCACTCATCTAGAGTGAGGAAAAAGAAAGCTACAGAGCAGATGCTGAAATTGAACAGAAAATACACAGGTTTTTTTTTTTTTTTTAATCGTTTGTTTGTTTTCATTTTCTTTTTAAACACCACCAGAACTTTTAAGGTTTTATTCTCCTTTATGGAATCTACATTTTTCTCATGCTGATTTTGATTTAAATATATATATGTTGCTTTAAAGAAATGTTGTTCAAATTGCTACCTTCAATCTGTGTCAAGCATGTGGCTATGTTATTATTGTTGTTTAGCCCCTCAGTTGCCGCCTACTCACTTTTACCACCCCAGGGACTGTAGGCTGCCAGGCCCGTCTGTCTGTGGGATTCTCCAGGCAAGAGTTCTGGAGTTGGTTGCCATTTCCTTCTTCACATATAGTTATAAAGGAGTGTAAAAAATTAAGTAGGAAACTAATTATTCTGTAGATATAACTATGAAGATCAAAAGACTAGTTTTATCAATGAATGAATGTGATATGTATGTCCTTCCAACCCCTACACCCCAACATCCATGTAAATCATACAGATCTCAGCTTTGATAATTTCCTAATTGGGGACCCTACAGGCAGTCAAGTGTTAAGAAGTCACAAATTTTCTACTTGAGACAGAGAAAATAAAATATAACGAACATTCATCACTATACTTTATAGAAAAACACATCTGTCAGCTGAAACTGTGTGAACTCTCAAGGATGTATATGCGTCTTTCAACCTTATCTTCCCTGACTTAGCTTTTCGGGCAAATGAAAAAGCACATAAAAAAAATTTTTTTATGAACCATATAATGCCTCACTTCTCAATGCAGTTATATTCTTTATCTCCCACCAGAGATCACTTTCACTTTTAAATCTCTCGCTATGGGGCTTGTCATGGACTAACCAGTAGGCATGTAATTGTGGATAAGCCTACTTTTTGTTTTTAAAACATAATGTTTAAGATTTCAAATATGCAAATGTAAGAACTGTCATTTGTTATTAATACTGTCTTGTGTCAGTCATTATAATTGACAGCTTACATAACTTGTTTTACTTTATTTCAACAAATATATGAGTTAAATGTTACTAATTGCATTTTCAGATGAGGACACTAAGGCTCTTAAAGATCAGAAACTTGGCTATACACATATTTTACCACTAGTAGGAGCTGGCATCAGAATTTTAACCTAGATTTTTCTGATGTCATTCCATGTCAACTGTTTCCAAGATACTAACCACTTTGGTCTTTTAAAATAATCTTTTCTGGGAAATTTACTCCTTAGAAGGTATTTACTAGACAATGAATTTCACAGTCACAATGATTTATATTGTATTTAGAATATAGTTTGTGTAATGACAATCTAGTAACACAAAAGTTACAGAGTAAATGGTTTATCTAAAGAATAAAGATTTTTTTCAAAAACAGTACACTGACAACAACACAGTGAATAGTAACGTGATGGCATTTCTGTTTAAAATATAGTCATTCTAGTAATCCATGTGGAACAGAGTTCATTAGTTTAATATATGTGCCTTTTTTTCATTGAAATGCCAAATTTCTTCTCTCCAACACAGCTGCACTGCATTGTTCTGGGTTAGGATGTGGTTGATCTTATTCTCCTGCAATTATTGAGTGATGTTTTTGATGTTAGCAAATACAGGAGAACATTCTGCATATGATATCTACACACCACAATGAAAATATATCAGATATTAATATATTTCATTTTCATCTTCAAACAGGAAAGTAAACAATGCAATCTTTTATCCTTATATCTTTAACACATGTTTAAACTGGCTGACAAGCAATATCAACTGATAACAAAATCTGGCAATTTTTTCTCTTTTTATTTCATTTACCCTCACCATTCCTCAGACATGCCATCCTACTTAATGCATTATTTCAATGCATTTCTTTTTCCTGTCTTATTGGAGGTTTTCTTCATTTGTGGCTCAACATATAGCAGCTACTTTACTTCTGTGATGCCAATATTTTTTCACACTTACCAGCAAGAGGACTTGGTCACACAAAATGAATTTCGTTTCAAGGTTATTTGGCCAGGGTTGTTCTGTTACCTGGCAGAACCCTTGAGGGTTCGTGATCATACTGTTAAACGTTGAGACTGCCTCCTAAGTAATGCTGCTCAAATACCACAAGAGTGTTGAAATGGTGTTAATACCACTCAGGTTTTACAACCATGTACGCTGAAGGTCTGGCAAGGCAACCATTATTGGTCTTGACTGAACATTTTCAGTTAGTCTATAACACAGACTTTTTAGTTTTAAGGTTTTATTGTTACTTAATTACCACTGATCTGGTTGTGTTCTAGATAGCAGCTCTGAAGGAGATTTGAGACAATGTGGGAAATAATAATACCACATTATACATTAGTCTTCATTAAGCTTACTCATGCTACGAAAATGCCCTAATCTTTCATTAATACTTTTTTTTTACAAGAACAATGCCTTCTCTAAAAAAATATGGGTTACCAAAAAATACCCAACATTTTATGTATCACAGAGATGGGAAAGGTCATTTGATGTATTCCATTCTACTTTTTAAAAAAATCTACGTACATAGTTATAATCAGATATATATAAAACAATACTCAATTAGGTTATTAAAAATTTCCTTATTTTTAAAATTTATTTCATACTATTAATTTTTATTAAAATGTTTTAATGACCTAGTGATACATTATCAATGATTATACTACAATTTCTTGCACCATTTGTTTCTTATATGATGATGAAATAAATTTCAAGCACTACTGCTTGCAGATATTGTTCTAAGGACTTTGAATATTTTAACTCATTCAAAACTCAAAACCACCTTTTAAGTAAGTACTATTATTATCCCTATTTTTTGGTTGAAGAAATTTAGTCAGAAAGCGTTTTTAGTAACTTACCAAACGTCATACAGGTAATGAAAGTATTTTCTAATTTTTTAAATGTAAACACTCACAATTGGCATTTTTGCAACTTTTGTTTATTTTCTTAATCTATTTTCCCAGAAGCGGAATAAGTGAACATAATTAGTAGAATGTGGTTAGGTGGCTTTTGTTTTTTTGTTTTATTTTGTTTTTGGAATTTTCTGAGGTCCTCAATAGACTGTTGAATAAGCATAGGCTTCCAACAATTCTGGGAAAAGGAGAAATATTCTTGATAGAAATAAATCTGAACAAGTCTCTGGAGTTAGAAGACTAGACATTCATCTCTGTTTGTGGCAGGGTGAGGTATTTAAAAGTAAATTTCCTGACAGATTTTAAAAGCGTCCAGTCCTACAAGCAAAAGAATTTTTTAAGAGTTTGATGACACCTAATATTTGAAGTGCTTGCAGGCAGTTCCTGTTTTATCCTGCATGATAAAACAAAGATCTCTTGGAATTAAGGGAGGGTGAATAATGGGAAGTCTGAACTAGCTCTGTGCTATTTAGACCGGAATACAGGTAGTTTGTGTAAAATGTTATGGAATGAGGCTTATAAGCCCCAACAATTTGGTTACACTCTAGAAGGCTAGACTCTTAGAAGATAATTAAGATCAATAATAAGCCACAGCTTCTGATGAAATACCAAGCCCGATTTCATGGAATTTGCAAACAAAAAGGATCAAAGTAAAGAAATAAGCTCTAAAACTAAATTACATAGGGCTTGAGCAAAGAAAGGAGAAATTAATTTTTTAAACGTGAAAAGAGAGAGAAATGCAGTATCTTTCTTGGTTTATAATCTTATTTATTGAGTAGGCCTCAATTTAGTCTTACCAAGCCCTTAATTAATCTTGGTGCTATGCTCAGACAAAAAAAAAAAAAGTGTACATTAGCATGCCACAGAATCAACCTTGGTGATATTTAAACTAGCCTTCTATGTGAGACAGAGTCAGGAAGTTCAAAGACCACACCCAGTGGCAGAGGCCTGGGTCCTGACTCCTCAGGAAATTGTTATCTTCTCATATTGATCGTTTATCTTTTTCTATCTACTCATATGTGATTACACCTTTTACTTTAGCTAATTTGGAAAAGCATCAAATGTAATGTTGTATAGTCTACTTTCAAATGATTAATTCTATCTGATAAATACTCTTCACCTTCATTTCATTGCCTGTATATTGTTTTTACAATGTACTATAATTTACCAACTCATTTTTTTTTGTTGTTCTTGTAAAGGTAGATTTCTTTAAACTTATCATGGGAATAGTAACATAAAAATACAATTGTAGATATTTTTATACATTTATTTTTCATGGAATAATTAAATCAGAATTTCAAAAGGTACATGGACTTGTATGGTTAACACACATATCACCAACTATGTCTACAAAATATTATCAATTTATATTTCCAATATAAATTGGCAATCTAATGTGTCTCCTTTATGATTAAAAGACAACTGATTATTATGTATTTTCCTGTTTCTCCGTTTCACTTGATAAACTACGACTTTATATTTAACTATTTTGCTGTTACTGTGATCAACCATGTGTTTATCAGTTTCCTGAAATATAGTATTTTAATTTAGACATAATTTCAAAACACTGTGAAGAACTCTCATATACATTTACCCAGATCCACATGCATGCATACTAAGTCGCTTCAGTCATGACCGACACCCTGCGATTTTATGAACCGTAGCCCGCCAGGCTCCTCCCTCCACGGGATTCTCCAGGCAAGAATACTGGAGTGAATTGCCATGCCTTCCTCCAGGGGATCTTCCTGACCCAGGGATCTAATCCTTGTCTTTTACATCTGCTGAACTGGCAGGCAGGATCTTTACCATTAAAGCCACGTGGGAAGTCCCCAGCTACTATTTTGACATATTTTCAATATCATGCTCTCTTTCTTCAT